TCCCAGAACCACACGGGGGGACCTAGTGAATGACCTGCAGAGAGCTGGGACCAAAGTAACAAAGCCTACCATCAGTAACACACTACGCCGCCAGGGACTCAAATCCTGCAGTGCCAGACGTGTCCCCCTGCTTAAGCCAGTACATGTCCAGACCCGTCTGAAGTTTGCTAGAGTGCATTTGGATGATCCAGAAGAGGATTGGGAGAATATCATATGGTCAGATGAAACCAAAATATAACTTTTTGGTAAAAACTAAACACGTCGTGTTTGGAGGACAAAGAATGCTGAGTTGCATCCAAAGAACACCATACCTACTGTGAAGCATGGGGGTGGAAACATCATGCTTTGGGACTGTTTTTCTGCAAAGGGACCAGGACGACTGATCCGTGTAAAGGAAAGAATGAATGGGGCCATGTATCGTGAGATTTTGAGTGAAAACCTCCTTCCATCAGCAAGGGCATTGAAGATGAAACGTGGCTGGGTCTTTCAGCATGACAATGATCCCAAACACACCGCCCGGGCAACGAAGGAGTGGCTTCGTAAGAAGCATTTCAAGGTCCTGGAGTGGCCTAGCCAGTCTTCAGATCTCAACCCCATAGAAAATCTTTGGAGGGAGTTGAAAGTCCGTGTTGCCCAGCGACAGCCCCAAAACATCACTGCTCTAGAGGAGATCTGCATGGAGGAATGGGCCAAAATACCAGAAACAGTGTGTGAAAACCTTGTGAAGACTTACAGAAAACGTTTGACCTGTGTCATTGCCAACAAAGGGTATATAACAAAGTATTGAGAAACTTTTGTTATTGACCAAATACTTATTTTCCACCATAATTTGCAAATAAATTCATTACAAATCCTACAATGTGATTTTCTGGATTTTTTTTTCTCATTTTGTCTGTCATAGTTGACGTGTACCTATGATGAAAATTACAGGCCTCTCTCATCTTTTTAAGTGGGAGAACTTGCACAATTGGTGGCTGACTAAATACTTTTTTCCCCCACTGTAACCCTATATGTATGTCACTGCTGCTCTAACCATATGTGCTCACTGTGGCTTAATGTTCATATTTTGCCTATGGCTATGTGTTTTTTTTGTTTGTTTTTTTGTCATCTTGTGTGTTTTTGCTGTGCTGACTTTGATGAGCGAAATAATTCCTGTCTTTCCTCCCAAAATGTCAGTAATCCTTGTTTCTTATTTATCTTGAACCTTGCCTTCGGCATCTCTTGTAACTGCATTTGTCTCTTCCTCTCTCTAGCTTCTTTTAATCTGTCTCGGCCACCTGTCTGAAGAGGGGATTGCAGCTTCAACAAGAACTAAGCACCCATTTCTTCTTCCTGTCTTTTCTCACTGCATCAACCTTTTTTAACTTCCATCTCATCTGCTTTGTTGACCATGGCCTAACGTGGGCTTCACACTGTACACTTTGGCAAGTGGGAGTCCTTCACTCTTAATATTTTGCAGCTCCGTCTTGGTGTGTGAATAAACTGAGTTTTGCTCAGGTAGGATTCTAGACGGTTGTTCAAGAGAAACACATCAAATCAATAGTTTCATCATACCAATTGTAAAAGAGCCAAGGCTCTGGATTAATTTATATTTTGCACAAAACTATCAGAATTTCATTGACAGTTAATTTTAAGGAGGTCTTTATGTAATAACATTCAATCATATATTAAGTCAATATTGAGATGGGCTTGTTCTGTTTGAAATTACCATTACTATTACAAATAGCCTATATTATTCATGTGCTCCTCATTCACAGGGGTAGTTAGTTCTGAATACAAATAGCACAACCCAGATCTCAATAAAACACTGATAAAACCCAAAGACATTAATTTGGTGATTGATAGAGCAAAGTGTGACATCTTACCTTATATGTGTGACTAGTATATACTTTTGTCATTTAAAAACCAAAAGACAATTGCGATCCAAAACAGTGTTCTTTATGTTCACTGCATAGGTTGTTTCATTGGAACTTAGAAGAGCCAGAGCCGTATTCATGTCAAGCACTTATTTAGTGAAAACACATTTTCCGTACTGAAATACCATGTAGGTCACATTTAATGCCATCAACCTATTCTGTATTTTGCATGTCTAATGCTCCTTTTTATTTCATCACCTCTGTGATCTTGTCCTTTTGCTCCCATAGCTGTTTTCTCCCCTAACCTTTCCGTTTTGCACTCTTTCACATTTGGTGCTCTATATTGTTTGGATCAGTTGTATCTTGTGTATTACTCCTTGTTATGTGCAGTTATACCCTCCACAATTTTCAGCACCCATATTGCCAAATATTACAATGAGATGGAGTTGAATCCTAGATACAGATTGATACATTTGTATAATTTATAAGGATATATTTTGTGTATTGAAGTGGAGACCGGTGTAGTTACATTTTGGTGTAAAAAATTGCCATACATTTTTCTAGTATCTGCCATAATCACCCCTCCTAATCAATTACCCGTCCACACCACAAATGTAATATGAAATATTTTATTGTAGTTTGATTCCATTTATGTAAATTTTCAATAAAATGATTCAGATAGTGTGTATTTGTTTTGTATGCCAAATGACTTAGTTGTGCAAATAATAAACACTGATGTTATATAAATGTTCACACATTGAAATAAACCCACATTTTTGGTGCACTTTGAAGGTGAAGAGGAAGACTGCCACCTTTTGGTTAAAGGGGGGAGGGGGTAAACCCTATAATTATTCTAAAAGTATTAACTAGCTAGCTATAAAAAAAAAAAAAACATAATGTCTAGATAGACATATCTAATACACATTACATTAAAGAGAATAAAGTCGACCGTCTGCTACTCTGCCTCTCAGTCTGCTACCAGCCCACGCATGCATGCGGAAACTGAAGCACAGACGCCATGATTTTAGATGGACAGAAAAGCGAGGGTTGTAGCAAAGGTTTTTATAACTAACCCTAGATAGACCACCACACGTTGTTTCCAATGGGAACAAATGAGTCAGTGGGCAGAACAAGCAAGGAGGGGGGCAGAGCCAAGCACGAGCTAGCGAGATCCTATTGGCGTGTTGTAGCATGTATTTGCATATTTATGTTAGGGAACGCCTACTCTGTAGAGTGCGCGTGTGCAATAACTCAATTCACCCGTGCACTCCTAAACAACGCATTTTTTAAAACTTTGGCAAAGGGTAAAATCTACAAAACGCAGTCCACTCTGTTCGTGTCATATTCTAGGAGCAGATATTCTAGGAGCAGAAAACTGTATTGAGATCAAATGTTTTATCGATGAGAAAATTAGCAAAATGTCGGCCAAAATTCATCTTGCTTAATATTCTCCCACTGCCGGCCACTGGGCTTCCTCTCATCACCATATTTGGTAGTGAGTGGATACGCCAACCGGATGCTTCACACTTATACATTCGGTGAAATATCTGTCTCATTGTTCTATCTGTGTTTATATGGGACGTTGACGGGTTGTCACTAGTTACTACAGCTACAAAGTCAATATTGGTTATCGTATAAATTCATGAAAACAAAAATGAGCTTTTTGGTCTTCATTTAAGGTTAGCAGTGTGGTTACGGTTAGGTTTAAAATCAGATTTTAAGAAAATAAATAGGCGGTGTTTATCCATAATTATGACTTTGTGGCTGTGGTGACTAGTGACGACCCCAGCTGACAACCCCCCCGGATGTTATGGTGATGACCAAAGGCGAAGCCTTTTTGCCGAAGCCGCTCGCTAGATATTGCTCTATTAGTGGAAGACTGACATCAAGGGCACAAAGAGACGTCGGACTTCTAACTTTGCATTGAGGTAAGTGGCTCAAATATTCCTTTGAGCTGAAAACAATTCGACAACTAGCTATCTGTCTCGTGCTCCATATCACATTTCCGTGCAAGATGATGCATCAATCTTTTTTTCAATGAGCTAGCTGTTAGCCATCTTTGCTCGTTTACTGCGTCACTTGTTTCGTCTGTTAAAATATGGTTTACTTTAAACCAGATCGTTAGTTATACCCTTTAATCTGTAGACAATTTAAATTAGCAAATGAAGACTTGATTGTGTGCATCAATGATAACGTTAACTGGATAGCTAGCTGCTACATAGCGTGCTAGTTAGCTAACTCGGTAACGTTATACCAAAGACAGTACAGTATGAAGATAGGCCAAAACTGCTTCTCCAATAGAATTCCCAGATCACACTTGTAGGCGATGTCATGGCACATGCGTAGAAACACGTAATCGGGTCTAACTGTCGACTCGCGTTGAACTGCGCATGTGCAGGCTGTCAAATCAAAGGCTCCCCGTCAATGTGAAGTTGTTTTTGACGAAAATTAAAACGTGTCAGTTTGTCACTTTCACGAGGTTGGAGTAATAACATCTTCAACTGCTTAAGACATTGGCTCGAATCTAGGTGGTGCCTTTAGATTTCGAGAAAATTAACTAAGGAATAATTTTTCACTTCTCAAACCCCAAACCCTGTTCTGTTTCGCAAGCGTTCCCGGAAGTCTCGCGATGTTGCGCCTCTGGGTTTAGAAACTCTGTGGTTATACTTAGTAGAAAATAGGGTTTTGAGAAGTTGTGCACACAATGGAGTCCTAATTATTCAGAAATGTAGCTAATGTTAGCATAAATAATATACTTTTTTTATCCACATCAGTCTGCCTATTCTTAGCTAGCTATCTAACGTTAGCCATAACGTTAATTATTAAGCCATAACGTTAATTCTTAGCGACTCATGTCGTGATGGTGGCCATGCTGCCAGCTGGGGTGTATTCATTACGTCGTTTCAGTTGCAAAACGTTTCTCAAACGGAACGAAACGGGGAGGGACCTACCTGAATTTGTCCAATAGAAACTGTCGTTTTAGTTGCAAAACGTGTCTGGGTAATGATTACACCCCTGGTAACGTCAGCTAATCGTCTTTGTTGCAGTCTGTAAACGGATCTTGTTAGCTAGCAGTAGTTATTTTTGCCATCTTCCCAATAACTACCTTTACACAGCCAAGTCACTGTCAATGCGTTTCGACAGTATTTCGAAAGTGAGAAACAGTGGTTAGCCATAAAACCATATATTGTGAAACGAATGCAAATTGAAAATTGTAGCCTCAGATTTGTTTTTAGCCCTCAGTTTGATGTGGGAACAAAAGTTCTCTCTTTAATGGAGTACTTCTGGTAGTAGAGCCATGTTAACTGTGTTACTGTGCTAGCATAGAAATACACATTGTGCTTGTTTGCCTTTTTTTTTTTTATATAGCTCTGTTTTCTTTAAAGGTATGGCCCTGATCTGAGGCTAGAGGTGCTGGATATGGCTGAAAGGATTGACATTGGCGAAATGCCCTCCTTTGACCTGGTTCCAAGTGCTGAAGCAAAGAAGAGACCCAATTCATCAGATGGCAGTGAGTGATTTTGATTCTTCAGATTGAACTCCTTGCCACAGTTTAAAGTATTTTGCTAATCTACTGGAAGATGAAAAATAGCTTAACTCATAACATATCAAATATGCTGTTATTGATTTGTTATACACTTGTCATTGATTGATTATCTGTTTTGTTCTTTAATGTTAGGAGACGAGCCAATGAGGAAAATGCCGGTGTCCAAATTTGGTTCCAGACCGCGGTTTGAGCCTGTGCACTTTGTTAGTGGTGGCAGCAGTGGCAGGTCTGGTAATGATGAGAAGGAGAATGACAAGGAGCGCCGGAGGAGTGAGGTGAACAGTGTGAAGCAGTGGGACTCGGACGCTGACCGTCCCGCTTATGGCAGCAACCGAGCTCAGGGCTCCTCTGCAGCTAGGCCTGCGTTCGACAGAGTTTCATCATATGGTTCTTCTTCTGACTCTTGGAGGGATAGAGAAAGAGATAGAGACATACCCTCAGGTAGCACAAGTGGTTTAGGTTATGGAAGCCGAGGATCCGCCTCAAATTACATGACTAAAGTGCAGCAGGACTACTCGGCCAGATACGAGGCCCACAGCACTAGGCAGCCGGACTCATACTCTCAGGCCCCTAGGTTTGATGGATATGGAGGGGGCAATCGATCAGGAGGCTGGGGGGATTCAGGACGCCAAGGCCTTGGCTTCAGGCAGCAGGACAGACCCTCATCCAGCAGACCATTCAGCAGAGTCTACAGCAGCCCAGGGAGGAGCAGCCCCTCGTCTGTCTCTGGGTCTTCACAACCCATCCCTATATCTCAAGCCGTGCTGGACGAAAAGCAGAGGCTGATCAATAGTGTGGCATCCGCCATAGCTGTCACTTTAAGAGACCCCGCGTTCATGTGTGGAGCTGAATCTCCAAACTACAATTTCATGCTGAGCCGTAGCATCCAGGCCTGTAAGACCAACCCGGAGTACATCTATGTCAACCTCAAGGATATCCCTCCAGCAGACCTACCCAAGAACAGGAAAGTACCGACTGATGGCTATGCCTGTGAGCTGAGATGCCAGTGTGTTTACCTTGCTACTGGCTACTCTGGTAGCAAAAACGGGGCCAGGGACCGTGCTTCTGAGCAGGCTATTAAGCTTTTCTTTAAACTGGTGGAGGTCCGTGTAGTGCAGCGCAAATTCAAACACTCCTTGGTCAATGATATTGTGGTCTGCCAGATGCACTGCCCTACCCCTGCCTTTCTACCAGCACTGCGTAACCCAGAGGACAAGCCGACGCCTAGCTCCAAGGGGCAATACGAGCCTGACAAACGCAAGCACTGGACAGATTTTGTCGTTGTTGACAACGCTCATGATGCCATCTGCATTCTTAACAACTCTGCCGCCTTCAACCGCATGAAGATTGACTACAAGTTCGACGTGGTCCCCAACAGCAGTGCATGGCAATGTAGCGTGTACCTGCAGGATGCGCTGGTGGCACAGGCCAGGGGAAGTAAGAAGACGTCGAAACATACAGCAGCTGAAGAGGCAGTGAGGAAACTACGCATGAACCAGGCAGCCCGGCAACAGCAGCAACAACAACCACAGCAGTTCTCTCGAGGGAACCATCACTCTGACCCATCGGGTGGTCGTTTCGGTCCCCAGGGTGTTAGGAAGAAACACTTGAGCGAACTGGTCATCCTGGAGAACTCGGACAATGCCATCTGCATCATCAATGACACTGCCCAATTCAACAAGGTAGCTGCCGATTATAAGTTCACAGTGCTACCAGACCACCGCTGGAGGTGTGAGGTGTACCTGGAGGGTCAGTACGTAGCGGCAGGCATCGGACCCAAGAAAACAGTGAAGCACATTGCAGCAGAGGAGGCCCTGGCCACACTCCGGCAAACACAGGCTGTGGTGAAATCCAACCTCAGGAAGGAGGGTAATGCTGACGCCCTCTCTCGCCACCAGATTCTGACTCGCTCTGGTGAGGAGTCCTCGAGACAGGAGATCAAGGAGGACAACATTGGGAATCAGCTACTCCGCAAGATGGGCTGGAAGGGTGGCGGATTGGGCCGGGAAGGGGAGGGCATCTCTGAACCCATCAAGGTGAAAGAGCAGTTCTCCAGAGAAGGACTGGGTATGGACATGGACAAGTCTGGGAATCAGCTCACCAAACGGAACATCGAGGACATCATCCGTAACTATGCCAGTTCAGACCGCCAGGACGACCTGCGCTTCTCCACTGAGCTCAACAATGATGAACGTAAGCAGATCCACCAGATATCCCAGAAGTATGGCCTGCGTAGTAAGTCATACGGCCAGGGCAGGCTGCGCTTCCTCATCGTCAGCCGAAAAGTGCACAAAGACCAGCTCATTGGCCAGCTCCTGCAGGAAGGGCAGGTGGGACGCTACGAGCTGGTGAAACCTCAGGCCTCACACTGACTGGATATGGTATAGCTCCAACAAACTACCGATGACTGATACTTACAACAAAAAAAATCACACACCTGATCTGGGAAAAGTTTGTAAATGTAAAATGTTTCAATCTTCTAGGCTTGTCTTTCGGAGAAACACTTGTGGTTTCTGCATTCCTTTTCATACAATTGTATATTTTCTGACATTGTTTTAACGCTTCTTGTCGTTCCACTATTTTGTCTTCTGTCAGCTTCAAATTTGCACAATATGCTAGTCTTGAAGTGCTTTGTGCTGTTACAGTTGATTAGAGTTCTGTATCTTTTGACAGAAATGCTCAAAACATATTTAGCAAATGTTTTTCATGGCTACAGAAATAGCCTAAACCAGCAGAATGCCTGCCATTTCACCTTCTCACCTACACAAAAGTTTAAATAGTAGAAATGTATATACTGTTGGCATCACCTCAGGTGATGACAGGTGTAAACTAGAGGCAACATCTGATATCCCTGCCACAATACTTGCAATGTTGTTTCCCCCCCTTGGATAGTTAAGAGATAATTTTAAAATAAAAACTGCCTCCATGACTTGAATTTGATCTTTGTCACATGGTAAAAGTGCAAGCTGTGATCCCTTTGGAATGTCAGATGTATAGCCTATGTGAATACAGTTCACTCGTCTGCTCGTTTTCACAGCTGTAATAACGCTAATCAATAAATTAAGTCTACTGTCTGGACTTCAATACTTGTGAGTTGACTGGTGTTATTACAAATATATTCATATAAACTTTTTTATATTTACACTGAAGTTCCTATGAACAACCACTATATCACAGTGCCAATTTGATCCATACCCCTCCCCTGCCAATGTTCTCAGGGCTGTAAGTTTGAAGCAATATTGTAGAGACAAGGAAGGGATCTGGGACCAGCTCGAAACTTAACCAATCAAGTCACTCCACCATCATCCCTCAAGAAAATATATGTATAATTATTTTTATTTACAAGAAAATGTAGTTTGTAAATGTTACAACTGCACATTTTACACAGATTGAATGGTGTTAAGGACACTGCAACATTCCCATGTGGTATTAGTAATTACGTAAGGATACAAATAAATGGAACTCAAGTAATTGGACATTTAAACCATATGATTTGAGCGTTAAAAGTACAGACAACCCTTGCCTTGATACATTCTGAGTTCTGTGCATGAGAAGGTTTACCACAAATTCTCAGAGCAGGCAATTTGTCAATCTCATCCTCATGAATATGCTTTTGCACCAGCGTTACAGGACTTGCATTTCAAAGTGCACCAAGTATGTCCCTTTCCGAAACACTTGATTCCTGATGGGTGATATCATTCAAAGAGCCATTCAGTTCATATAAACAAAGCCCCAACAAGAACATGGTTTGTGCATGTAAAAAGGTAGGGTATTGAGATTGACATTGGTTGGAGAAAACAGGTGTTCATCACATTGTGTCTTAGTTGGATTACTATCATACAAAAGCGCCAAAAAGGCAAACGTGTGAAAGCTAGAAACAAAACATTGAAACCATAGAAAAAAACACTTTTATGTGGATCAACACAAGAAAATCACACTGCAAGCCGAGGACTTAAAACACTAAAATGACAAACAAAGTAACTCCTGATCAGGAAAAAAAAAGTACCTTTTTATGCCAAGATTAAAAAAAAAATGGGTTAAATTACATTGTAAGTAACCCAGATATAACAAGGTACATTTACTTTGATGTGCTCTTGTCCAGAAAGAGCATTCTGCATGAAGGGAAACCACAACAGCCAAACATACTGCAGAGAAAGATTCAAACCACATGTATTTCATTTCATTTGTGAGATATTTTTCTTCCTTGAGGCTGGATATTGTCCATACTTTGAACGGTGAGTGGGGTCAACAATCGCGCCAACTCTGTTCCACGATGGCAGACACTCTCTTCTCATACTCCCGTTTGTTCTCCTGGTACAGCTGAGCTGCCTGGCTATTGGCTGGGCTGTTGGGATTGGGCTCATCCAGTAAAGACTAGGACGATACAATAGTAGACACTTCAGTAACAATAGTATTCTGGCACCCTTTTGACTAGATGATTTTAATTAAATTGTTTCTAACACCGTTATTTGAGGACAAAGTAAAGCACAATGGTGCTTTACAAGGCAAGTAAATATTCAATGAAGATTTATGGATAATGCTGAGTATACCTGTATTGAAGTTAGGATTGAAGAAACATCATAAGTTGGACTCCAGCGGTTCTGAAGAATGTCCAAGCATATACTACCATCTGCGTAGACTGCACAATACAGAACATACATTTACTCCATAACAAAGACTGGTGGATTGTCTTGTTGACAAAAGATTCAGCTGTTCCACCATAAAACGATCCTGTAAGCAATAAGCATGTTTCTAAAATGCCATGGCTGCCTCTTTTCCATTGAAGAAAAACGTACCGTTTGGATGAAACATTTTGGAGACAAAACGCACAGTTGGAGGCTTATTAGGGTATTCCTCTGTGAATTCTATTGTGAGTTTGAAAGTTCCTAAAAAATAAAGGAATGAGAATATTAACGATCAAGTGGGCACTAAACAGTCACACAAGAGTAAAAGGTTAGCTTGACAATGACCAAAAACGGATCTGGGACCAGGCTAAAACAGAATGGCTTAGAACAAATTCAAAGTTGTTCTTGCTGCAAAATGTTTTGAGCAACCAAATAGCATAAGCATACTGTATTTGGCAACTAAATTATTGTTGCTATTTCAATAAATAACATTATATACACATGGGAAAAAATCCTAAAGCACAAATGCACATAAATGCAACTCAATGAGGGACATTTACTAGAATGGAGGATTACTGGTGGGTCTGATATGCATATTCACTGACAGATGATGTCAAACAGATACAGTGCCTTGCAAAAGTATTCATCCCCCTTCACAGTTTTCCTATTTTGTTGCATTACAACCTGTAATTTAAATTGATTTTTATTTGGATTTCATGTAACGGACATACACAAAATAGTCCAAATTGGTGAAGTGAAAAAAATAACTTGTTTCAAATAATTGTAAAAAATAAATAACGGAAAAGTGGTGCGTGGATATGTATTCACCCCCTTTGCTATGAAGCCCCTAAATTAGATCTGGTGCAACCAATTACCTTCAGAAGTCACATAATTAGTTAAATAAAGTCCACCTGTGTGCAATCTAAGTGTCACATGATCTCAGTATATATACACACACACCTGTTCTGAAAGGCCCCAGAGGCTGCAACACCACTAAGCAAGGGGAACAAACCAAGCAAGCGGCACAATGAAGACCAAGGAGCTCTCCAAACAGGTCAGGGACAAAGTTGTGGAGAAGTACAGATCAGGGTTGGCTTATAAAAAAATATCTGAAACTTTGAACATCCCACGGAGCACCATTAAATATGGCACCACAACAAACCTGCCAAGAGCGGGCCGCCCACCAAAACTCACGGACCAGGCAAGGAGGACATTAATCAGAGGCAACAAAGTGACCAAAGATAACCCTGAAGGAGCTGCAAAGCTCCACAGCGGAGATTGGAGTATCTGTCCATAGGACCCCTTTAAGCCGTACACTCCACAGAGCTGGGCTTTACGGAAGAGTGGGCAGAAAAAAGCCATTGCTTAAAGAAAAAAATAAGCAAACACGTTTGGTGTTCGCCAATTGGCATGTGGGAGACTCCCCAAACATATGGAAGAAGGTACTCTGGTCAGATGAGACTAAAATTGAGCTTTTTGGCCATCAAGGAAAACGCTATGTCTAGCGCAAACCCAACACCTCTCATCACCCCGAGAACACCATCAACACCAGCATGGTGGTGGCAGCATCATGCTGTGGGGATGTTTTTCTATCGGCAGAGACTGGCTAGATGTGCCAAGCTTCTAGAGACATATCCCAAGAGACTTGCAGCTGTAATTGCTTCAAAAGGTGGCTCTACAAAGTATTGACTTTGGGGGGGTGAATAGTTATGCACGCGCAAGTTCTGTTTTTTTGTCTTATTTCTTGTTTGTTTCACAATAAAACATATTTTGCATCTTCAAAGTGGTAGACATGTGTAAATCAATTATACAAACCCCCCCAAAATCAATTTTAATTCCAGGTTGTAAGGCAACAAAATAGGAAAAATGCCAAGGGGGGTGAATACTTTCACAAGCCACTGTACAATCCCCTGGTTTTGACCTCAAACCCAAAGGGTTAACCCATATTTCACAGGATTCATTCACTTGCTGGCAGGCAGTAATCTCATCTCAGCCATTTAACAGGTCAGCTGGATTGCTGTAGCTCTGGTAAGACACCAGCTGGTCTACAATGTCAAATCAAAAAGGTTTATTGGTTGTGTACACAGTTTAGCAGTTGTTATAGTGGGTATGGTGCAATGCTTATGTTACTAGCTCATAACAATGCAGTATAATGTCAAACAAGTACACATAATTTAAACAAATATTTAAAAAACAAGAAATTAAGAAATGTCAGAACAAATCCAATTAACAACCCAAATAGCACTGTAAAAGTAATCGAACTGCAATCTATACATATACACCGGATTCATTTACACAATAGAAACTAAAAATGATATGTATAGCAGTAGACATGTTACAGTGAGCTATGTCACAAATCTAGTATATAAATACATGTGGTGTGTATAAACAGTTAGCTAAAATGCAATGTACAGTAGTAGAAATATTATAATAGACTGTCGAGAATAGAGTATTTAAATACACAGCACAAAACCCCATGGCAAAATTGATAAAATTGCAGAAAATTAGTCTGGAATATAAATATACAGTGCATTCGGAAAGTATTCAGACCTTGACTTATTCTAAAATGGATTAAATTAAAATTTTCCTTCATCAATCTACACACAATACCCCATAATGACAAAGCAAAAAAAGGTTTTTAGAAAGACAGGACTGTGTCGAGGCACGGATCTGGGGAAGGGTACCAAAAAATGTCTGCATTATTGAAGGTCCCCAAGAAAAAAAGTGGCCTCCATCAATCTTAAATGGAAGAAGTTTGGAACCACCAAGACTCTTCCTAGAGCTGGACGCCCGGCCAAACTGAGCAATCGGGGGAGAAGGGCCTTTGTCAGGGAGGTGACAAGGAACCCGATGGTCACTCTGACAGAGCTCCAGAGTTCCTCTGTGGAGATGGGAGAACCTTGCAGAACGACAACCATCTCTGCAGCACTCCACCAATCAGGCCTTTATGGTAGAGTGGCCAGACGGAAGCCACTCCTCAGTAAAAGGCACATGACAGCCCGCTTGGAGTTTCCTAAAAGGCACCTAAAGACTCTCAGACCACGAGAAACAAAATTCTCTGGTCTGATGAAACCAAGATTGGCTTCGGGACAAGTCTCTGAATGTCCTTGAGTGGCCCAGCCAGAGCCCGATCGAACATCTCTGGAGAGACCTAAAAATAGCTGTGCAGTGACGCTCCCCATCCAACCTGACAGAGCTTGAGAGGATCTGCAGAGAAGTATGGGAGAAACTCCCCAAATACAGGTGTGCCAAGCTTGTAGCTTCATACCCAAGAAGATTCGAGGCTGTAATCACTGCCAAAGGTGCTTCAACAAAGTACTGAGTATAGGGTCTGAATACTTATGTAAATGTACTATCAGTTAGTTTTTTTATTTAATTTGCAAACATTTCTAAAAACCTGTTTTTGCTTCGTTATTATGGGATATTGTGTGTCCTCTGTAGCTCAATTGGTAGAGCATGGCGCTTGTAACGCCAAGGTAGTGGGTTCGATCCCCGGGACCACCCATACGTAAAAATGTATGCACGCATGACTGTAAGTCGCTTTGGATAAAAGCGTCTGCTAAATGGCATATTATTATTATTATTAAATTGATTAGTAAAAAAACAATTTCAGAATAAAGCTGTAACATAACAAAATGTGGAAAAACTGAAAAGGTCAGAATACTTTCCGAATGCACTGTATATGAATGGTGTGTATAGACAGTATGGACAGTATGTGAATAGAAAAGGTATGTATAGCAGTAGTTAAATAGGATGATCATGAGCCATGACTAGAATACAGTATATACAAATATAAAGTGGGTGAAGCAGTATGTAAACAGAGTGACCAGTGTTCAATGACTATGTACATAGGGTAGTAGTACTAGTACTGCTAGTCTAAGTACTGTTCCAACTAACAGGTCTCCCATGCAATTAATTAGTCCTTATCATGGTACTGATCACTTCCATTTGAGTTGTCAAACATATACACAAGAATGTAGCAGCTACAAAAAAGTAAAGACATAGCTAGCTAGCTACTTACCATCTTCAAAAGGTGTTCCCTCTGGGCTGGGGAGAAAACAGTTACATAGCTAATGTTAGTTTGCTAACTTTAATATGCTAGGGACAAGAGCTTCAACGTTAATTTCTTGAAAATTCATAATAATACCCTACTTTAGATACATGTTGTGTGGCTAACGTTAAACATATATTTCTAGCAACAAATATATCTAACTAGCTAACGTTAGCTAGTTACTACTTTTAAAGTCCATTCACTTACCCAAAAATTACGGCATTCCAAACCATGATATTGTTTTCTGACGGGGCTCCACTAACTCCTGCAGGAGGATCCTCTTGAAGCCTGAGAAAGAAGATTATTTTCGATGCTTAATTAGCAAACGTTAGTAGTTCGTTAACTAGTTAATTAGGCTAACGCGTTAACTGGCCTGGCTAGCTACAACTTGAAAAGATTCAGCTGTAATGTTATCTTTATGTTAACAATCCATGTGTTAGCTAACGTTAGTAACTTATGTTATCCAGTAGCTAGTAACGTATGTTATCCAGTAACTGTTAGCAGAAACGTTAACATTTTGCTAGTTAGCAACAGTCAGACAAACGATTCACATAGACAGCCAAGCTAGCTAGCTAGCCAGCCAGTTGCTCCTCACACATACCGCTTAAAATCTCTCATTAAACGTCGTCTTGCTGGAGTTGACATCTTATTCAGTTGGAAAAATAAAACGTATGTATACGGTTACAAGTCACACGTTTTAAAACAAACGATTTTCACAGTAATGATTATATTTCCCACGATAACGTTAGGTTTCCGCAATCTTTAGCTAGCTGTTAGCGTCGTTCTTCCTCAGACAGGATCTGGGCTAGACACACTACCACTCACGAGCGAAAGGGGGGTAAATATGAGGGTATGGTAAAACATTATGAAGAAAAAGGCAATTAAAAAAAAAAAACGTTTTAACTGATTTGGAAAACTATTTAAAATAATTAAAAACGTACGTATGCAAAACAAAATGCCCCCCCAAAAATTTTTTCGCTACAGGTCTGTAGATTTGATATAATGTGTATTTTTTTCTTTGTGTAATCCCTCTGGCTGTTCTGTTCTTTTTGTGTTTTGCTTGTTACTGTTTAATAATAAAATAAAAAGCAGCATTTTTTGGGGAGAGGGTATGTTCTTATTGCTTCCTCTTCTTCTTCGTCAAGATTTGTTTGGCGGATCGCATCCAACTTTTAGGTGCATACACCGCCACCTACTGTACTGGTGCGGGAGGCCATTCACGTAATACCAATTGCGAAAAGATAAAAATTGCCAGTGAGTAAAAGTAAAGATATCTTAATAGAAAATCACTAAAGTGAAAGTCACCCAGTAAAATACTACTTGAGTAAAAGTCTAAAAGTGTTTGGTTTTAAATATACTTAAGTATTAAAAGTAAATGTAATTGCTAAAATATACTTAAGTATTAAAAGTATAAATAATTTCAAATTCCCTATATTAAGCAAACCAGACGGCACAATTTTCTTGTTTTTTATATAAGGATAGCCAGGGGCACACTCCAACACTCATACATAATTTACAAACGAAGCATGTGTGTTTAGTGAGTCCGCCAGATCAGAGGCAATAGGGACGACCAGGGATGTTCTCTTGATAAGTGCATGAATTTGACAAATTCTCTTGTCCTGCTAGCCATTCAAAATGTAACGAGTACTTGTGTGTCAGGGAAAATGTATGGAGTAAAAAGTACATTATTTTCTTTAGGAATGTAGTGAAGTAAAAGTAAAAGTAGTCAAAAAAATATAAATAGTAAAGTAAAGTACAGATACCCCAAAAAACTACTTAAGTAGTACTTTAAAGTATTTTTACTTACAGTTGAAGTCGGAAGTTTACATACACCTTAGCCAAATACATTTAAACTCAGTTTTTCACAATTCCTGACATTTAATCCTAGTAAAAATGCCCCGTCTTAGGTCAGTTATTTCACATTCTTAAAATAAAGTGGTGATCCTGTCAGAATAATAGTAGAGATAATTATTTATTTCAGATTTTATTTCTTTCATCACATTCCCAGTGGGTCAGAAGTTTACATACACTCAGTTAGTATTTGGTAGCATTGCCTTTAAATTGTTTAACTTGGGTCAAACGTTTCGGGTAGCCTTCCACAAGCTTCCCACAATAAGTTGGGTGAATTTTAGCCCATTCCTCCTGACAGAGCTGGTGTAACTGAGTCAGGTTTGTAGGCCTCCTTGCTCGCACACGCTTTTCTAGTTCTGCCCACAACTTTTCTATAGGATTAAGGTCAAGGCTTTGTGATGGCCACTCCAATACCTTGACTTTGTTGTCCTTAAGCCATTTTGCCACATCTTTGGAAGTATGCTTGGGGTCATTGTCCATTTGGAAGCTTTAACTTCCTTACTGGTGTCTTGAGATGTTGCTTCAATATATCCACATAATTTTCCTTCCTCATGATGCCATCTATTTTGTGAAGTGCACCAGTCCCTCCTGCAGCAAAGCACCCCCACAACATGATGCTGCCACCCCCGTGCTTCACGGTTGGGATGGTGTTCTTCGGCTTGCAAGCTACCCACTTTTTCCTCCAAGCATAACGATGGTCATTATGGCCAAACAGTTCTATTTTTGTTTCATCAGACCAGAGGATATTTCTCCAAAAAGTACGATCTTTGTACCCATGTGCAGTTGCAAACTGTAATCTGGCTTTTTTATGGCGGTTTTGGAGCAGTGGCTTCTTCCTTGCTGAGCGGCCTTTCAGGTTATGTCGATGTAGGACTTGTTTTACTGTGGATATAGATACTTTTGTACCTGTTTCCTCCAGCATCTTCACAAGGTCCTTTGCTGTTGTTCTGGGATTTATTTGCACTTTTCGCACCAAAGTACGTTCATCTCTAGGAGACAGAATGCATCTCCTTCCTGAGCGGTATGACAGCTGCGTGGTCCCATGGTGTTTATACTTACGTACTATTGTTTGTACAGATGAACGTGGTACCTTCAGGCATTTGGAAATTGCTCCCAAGGATGAACCAGACTTGTGAAGGTCTACAATTTTTTTTCTGAGGTCTTGGCTGATTTCTTTTGATTTTCCCATGATGTAAAGCAAAGAGGCACTGAGTTTGAAGGTAGGCCTTGAAATACATCCACAGGTACACCTCCAATTGACTAAAATGATGTCAATTAGCCTATCAGAAGCTTCTAAAGCCATTACATAATTTTCTGGAATTTTCCAATCTGTTTAAAGGCACAGTCATTTTAGTGTATGTAAACTTCTGACCCACTGGAATTGTGATACAGTGAATTATAAGTGAAATAATCTGTCTGTGAACAATTGTTGGAAAAATTACTTGTGTCATGCACAAAGTAGATGTCCTAACCAACTTGCCAAAACTATAGTTTGTTAACAAGAAATGTGTGGAGTGGTTGAAAAACGACTTTTAATGACTCCAACCTAAGTGTATGTAAACTTCCGACTTCAACTGCAAGTACTTTACACCACTGAAAATTGCCCTGCCAACTATTAACATTTACCCTCTATTAAAAAAACACCACCCATTCCACTATTTAACCCTATCTAATCATACTCCAGAGTTCTTCTTCTTCTTTAAGGTTTTATAACAGACTACACCTATTGGTGTGTATTGCCACCACCTACTGTGTGTGTTTGCGCGGTGCAGTTTATAACCAAAGCAATAAACGATACAAAGTCCACCTTTTTAACATGCAACATGTCAGGATCCTGTTGGTGAGTAACATTTACTGATGTCTCTAATCGAACTACCATGGTTTCTTCAACTTTACTCCCTTCTTCCAGTCTTCTCACCGCCTCTGGATAGGAGACATGCTGGACAGTCCTTATTCTTGCCACCTCGGTCTCCTTCACCCTAACAGGGCATTTCATGAATTCAGGTGCATGCTCGCCACCACAATTGCAGCATTTCGCCTCAACTGGCATACGATACTCCTCCTGTCTACATACACTTTGCACATGTCCAAATGGTTTACATTTATCACACTGCAAGGGTTTGGGCACGAAGGCTCTTACAGGATATCTCACATAACTCAAATATACGTACGAACGGAGAGACTCTTCTTCAAATAACAAAATAATGGATGAAGTGGCACCATAGGGGTCAGTCGGCGTGCACCAACCACTGCATCTATTTCTTCAGTTACATCCTTTACACTCACTTACACACCCATTGAGTATTATGGAGTATTATGTGAACTGTGATTATGATCGATTCCCGGGACCACCCACACGTAAAATGTATGCACGCATGACTGTAAGTCGCTTTGGATAAAAGCGTCTGCTAAATGGCATATATTATATTATTATTATACTGTATATATAAGAACAACATTTTGTGACAGAGATGGTAGGAGCAGTTTATATAACCCTCTCGCTCAGGCTCTCCAACCCTGTTCCTGGAGAGCCACCCTCCTGTAGGGTTTCACTCCAACCCTAGTTGTAACTAACCTTGTTCATATTATAAACCAGCAAATTATTCGAATCAGGTGCGCTAGATTAGGGTTGGGATGAAAACCTACAGGATGGTAGCTCTCCAGTAACAGGGTTGGAGTTAAAACCTACATGATGGTAGCTCTCCAGGAACAGGGTTGGAGTTAAAACATACAGGACGGTAGCTCTCCAGGAACAGGGTTGGAGTTAAAACATACAGGACGGTAGCTCTCCAGGAACAGGGTTGGAGTTAAAACCTACAGGACATTAGCTCTCCAGGAACAGGGTTGGAGTTAAACCTACAGTTACGTGCAGGGACGGCCTGTTCAATAGGGCGATATGGGCGACGCACTGCCAAACGGGAAAGGAAGGGATTTTTTTTCTAATCAATAATATCACGGCAACAGTAGTTATCAGTGTTCACGTCTGATCTGCCAGCCACTAAATGTCAAATCAGGCTAAAGTCGTGCTTCAAATGGCCCCGCCCGTTTTTGGGGCGATTTCAGTCAAGTTGAAAATCGCCCAGAAGTCTCTCATAGCCTGTCATGTAAAATCTATTTTTTTCAAATTTCAAAGCTTTCAATACATTCTCTATGGGTGTCTGTGGGCTTGCACTTACGCGCTTTCGTCATACGTGACGTAACCATGAACGTAACTAAGACAATAGCGGCTAGCAGCGTCTCTGTTGCGACCTGCAGTGTGGCGTTATTTTATGTTTTTAATTTGTAGACTTAGTTTACAAACATTCTGCCAACCATGGATTTCCAGTGGTTGGTTTTGGACTGATCTTGTTGATCGTGTACATACCCGCTACGAACGGACTAAATAATGAAAACGCTGCTGGCAACGGAATCCAATACAGCAGGGAGTTTTTTACTACAATGCAACTCAAATACGAACGCGATGGATATCCCAATGGCCCATCTAATACCTGATTGTCTGCGAGTGGATTACAAACCCAAATGCAAACGTGGAAAACGCGGGGGAATCAGACAACGACTTTAAAAAAATTAAGAACAAAGTTCCCTTACCCACCACCTTGCTGATTAATGCCCAGTCACAGAGGGGGAAAGCGGATGAGTTGTCAGCGAATCTGCGCTTCCAACACGAATATCGGGAGGCCTGTTTGCTGGCATTTACTGAGACTTGGCTGGATGACAGAGTCCCGGACAGAGAAGTGGAGCCGGCCGGCTTCACCCTGGTCAGAGCGGACCGCGATCCTGGTAAGAGAGCGACTCTGTACCCCGACATTGAACTGCTTTCTGTGTCATTGCGACCTTACTATCTGCCCCGTGAGTTCCCCCAATTGTTTGTTACCGTTGTGTACTGTTGATAATCACAAGTTTACTGGAGAACTGAGACCAAGTAGAGACTTTGGACAGGGTGGATAATGGTATAATATAAGGCAGTTTATTCAGAGGTAAAGATATCTGGAATCGCGTGCACGGACCCGTTCGTCAATCTCGTAGGGAGATATCTGAAGAGAGAGCCC